CCGCACAACATGATCTACTCGACCACCATTATGGTTACCGCCAAAAAAAAAAACCGGAGGTAAAAAAACAAACGGTAACCTGGTTGCCGCGCTTACGAAGTGAATTGGCTTGTTTTACAACGTCGTTGCCAGGCGACGAAAACCCAATCCCGATGGCAAACACCGGGGGGGACGGCTTGTTTTACAACGTCGTTGCCAAGTGACGAAAACCCAACCCCGATGGCAAACACCGGGGGGTGGGGGGGGTGGACTTGCCAAAACGCCCTTTTGCCTAAGCGTCGAAGCTGTGTCGTGCAGAAGCTCACTGTTGACCCCTCTTGACCACCGACGTTCTCGCTCGCCTTTTTCTTACCGCACCCAATGACGACAACCACCAGCCTGCTGAGGCCGTATACGGAGACAATAGCTCTAACCTCGGCATGGTAACCGAGCTCGTGGCCTTCACGCTGCCGCTGCTGGTCGTGTGGTGAGTTGGCTACAACGAATGCTCTGCACTACAACGCAGCGAAGACCCTTGTAACCCTCCAAGACCTGAGTATTTCATTTTGTGATCCTTTTCCTGTGCGCGCCGGGGGGACAGCGCTAATTGCCGATTGCCGAACGCTAGAAAAGATAGCGCCGGTGGATTTTTGTACGGGGAGGGCGGTGTCCAAATCAAGTCCGTCCGCGTTGCTTGACACGGCGCGACTTTTTTTTTTTTTTTGCGGAGGAATAGTCTTTGAGTCGCGGCAAAGCTGGAAGACCGGCGCGAGGTACATTTGTTTGATTCAAACCAGGTGAGGTTACCACCACGAATAAAGATAAGCAGGCGCCTCCCCCCCCCGCCCCCCGCGTTCTGGCCTCGCCACCCGTGTGTCCCAAAGCCGAAAAACGAACATGAAGCTGAGTCACCTTGTAACCTATTGCGCTGCCCCCCCCCCGCCCTCCTCTTCGTCCACAGGGCAGCACAGACTCCTCTCCAACTCCCCCCTTTCCAGTGTGTTGGTTTGCTCTTGTTCCGTACATGCAGTAGTGTCCCTGTTTGGCGGTTCCCTGTTTGGCGGGATCCCCTGAACAGCAATTCCGACTGCTCGTGGCACGGCTGCACCTCCGTAGCCAAGCTACTGTTTTAGGTTTTTTAGCATATTACCAACCCGTTTAGTGGCGATGACCTCAATAGTGGTTGTAACATTTTTTGACGCTGCGGACCGCTAAACCGGGACCACCACCGCTGTGTACATTTATTTATCACATCACATGTGAAAATGCGTCCGTCTGTGGCTTTTTTTTGTTTTTGGGCAGGCTTTCCAACCCCATCATGTCGTTGGTCGACACTGCGGTCGTGGGGGCTTCGTGGCTTGATTTTTTTTTTTCCTTGGCAGGCTTTCCAACCCCATCATGTCGTTGGTCGACACCGCGGTCGTGGGGGCTCCGTGGCTTGATTTTTGTTTTGCTTGTTTTGTTTTTCTTTGGCAGGCTGTCCAACCCCATCATGTCGTTGGTCGACACCGCGGTCGTGGGGGCTCCGTGGCTTGATTTTTGTTTTGCTTGTTTTGTTTTTCTTTGGCAGGCTGTCCAACCCCATCATGTCGTTGGTCGACACCGCGGTCGTGGGGGCTCCGTGGCTTGATGCTTTTTTGCTTGATTTTTTGTTTCTTCGGCAGGCTTTCCAACCCCATCATGTCGTTGGTCGACACCGCGGTCGTGGGGGCTCCGTGGCTTGATGCTTTTTTGCTTGATTTTTTGTTTCTTCGGCAGGCTTTCCAACCCCATCATGTCGTTGGTCGACACCGCGGTCGTGGGGGCTCAGAGCTCCGTCGAGCTCGCGGCGCTTGGACCGGGTACATCGGTGTGCGACAACCTGGCCTACATGTGCGGCTTCCTCGCTCAGGCATGGCTTGTTCTACGTTTGTGCTTGCCGTTGATTGGTCGGAAGCTTAGGCTTTGAATCCCGTGTTACGTAGCTCAGGCATGGTTGCTATGCTTGAAGACTTTTGGTTCGAGTCTGTTGTAATTGATTCTCGATTCGGCATGGTTGTGTTTGAAGACGTGGCAAGGGATTGGAGTTGATCGAAATTGATGTCCGCCCAGGAATCGATTATGCTTGAGGGCTTGGACTGCTGTATTTAATCAGCTGCTCGTTTCGTCGGGGTGGTGATAGGAGGTGTGCATGGAGGAGGATGGGTGGTTGCACATCGTCCCGCAGGGCTCGCGGTCTCTCGCTTGCGGAGGGAGCGAGCAGGGAACGTTTCATTTTTTTATCTCGACTCTCGGTTGGAGTGGCAGCCACGGGTGTTCATTATTCAGTCGCGGACACATCCTTGACCCTAAGCACAGCTGTCGTCATCGGTTACGCTTACTCCCCCCTCCCCCCCGAGAGAGAAGAACAGACTCTCAGGAAAGAATCCGAGGATAAGGAGGGTCTAGAAGTGTACGGAATGTTGAAGGAAGGAATAAGGTTCAAGGATTACCTACATGGACCAATGGATGCAGGGACAAAGCTTAAGGTCAAATTCAGGACCGGGGACATGGGCCTTCGGGAACGTCGACGAAGACATAGGACGGTAGACGACAAGACGACGAGTTCAAATGTGATTGCGGCTTCGAATGCGAAGACCGTGTTCATGTAGTCGCGGAATGTTAGTGGTACAACGAGGAGAGGGAAGTGTACATGACCGAGCTGGGAGAAATAGATGGGAAATACAGGGAGATGTTTGAGGCATGGAATGGAGAGGAAAGGACAGTAGCTGTAGTGGGGCATAGGAGGTGGTTTGAACAGTCGGGAAGGGATATCGTTAAGATAGACAGACTACGGAAGACATTTTTGAGTCACCTTTGGCAAAGTAGAAAGGAACGATTGGTCATCGGTGATCGGTCCTGTGGGAACAATGCTCCGTCCTCTCGAGGACGCGTGGTCAATGGTCTAACCGCTAAGGCATGCAAAANCCCGCGAACGTTCTCGAGAAAGCAGAAGTCTGACACCATCCTCCCCTCTCTCTCGTACCCTGATCGTCATCTCTCTCGGGTGTGTACCCGCATCGGCTTGATTTCTTCCTTACTCCTCCACCGCAAAAGGTTACTACGAACCTTGGTGCGAGCGCTCTTGCTAGCGGCGACAGCCTCAAGGCAGACCGGGTGAGTGGCTTTACCTCATGACCACAGGCCGTTTTTTTTTTCGTTCTTTTGCGGTCGTTATTGGTTGCTGTTCTGCTCTTGGCGTGTCGCCCCCGTCGGGTGCAAATAGCAAGCTGTTGTAGCGGCAACCCTAACACCCAACCTTACGGAAGGATGTTAAACTTGGTTTCAGTAGGGGTCGGATTAGAGTTACGACCCCCCCCCCCTCGTATTTCATGCTACATGAATAATAAAATCCTTGCGAAGACAGTCCCCTTAACCCCCCCTGGTTCCATCCCCAATACTGCCCCTCCGTCACACCAGGCTACCCGCACCGGAATCTTTGTCGGTCTCGGCGCGGGCGTGGTCGCCTCGGCTGCCCTTCTGAGATACGGCCGGATGCTCCTGCAGCTCTTTCTTGGCGGGAACCCAGCCGGTACGGCAGTACGCAATAGATATTTTTCTCACGTTGGACCTTTGTCCCCCACGTGAATCGTTTGTGCTTTGTTTTTGTTGTGCCGGGGACGATTTTTGTCCGAGGGAAGGAAAATTGTCGGGATAATGATGAGGAGAGAGGTAAGCCATTGGAGACTGTTGCTTTGCAGACAAGGGCAAACGAGCGGGCTTTGCGTAACCAGCTCGCCCCCGCCTTGATCGCGTTTGTGGGCGCAGCGCCAGCATGGTGCGCGGTTCATGATGTCGACCGAAATCGACCGAAATCAACCGAAACGCCCCCCCCCCCCCCCCCCCCCCCCCCCCCCCCCCCCCCCCCCCCCCCNCCCTCCCCCCATCTGGGATTCAGAGGGGTGCCCGCGGTCGGTAGGTAACAAGTTGTTGCCCCCCTCCCCTCAAATAGCGACGGCGGTGCGCAATGTTTGTCCCCCCTCCCTCGCGTAATAATAATTGCCGTCGTGCTACCGACCAATGCATCGAAACACCGGAAACGACAGCGCCGTTCGTGAAACCGTCGTTCGTTTTTTTTTGTGTTCTTTCTTGGCGCGCGAGCAGTGTCTTCCGTGCTTCCGCATTCTTGCTCGTACGTGTACATCCGGGCCATGGGCTTCGTGGCCGTGACCGTGTCGATGGTGCTCCAGTCGGCTTACCTCGCTCGGAAGGACATCGCCACGCCAATCAAGGTGCGTTGTTGTTGTTGTTGCTGCTGCTGTGCTGCTGCTGCTGCTGCTGCTGCTGCTGCTGCTGCTGCTGCTGCTGCTGCTGCTGCTGCTGCTGTTGCTGTTGTTTTTGTCTTTTCCTTGACGTTTTCAACCTTGATGCCCACTATCTAAGAGTAACGGGGGCCCTATTACATTATTCAATCCTGATATATCCAATTGCCTAAGCCTGTTGTGAAACACTCTGTTTTTTTTTTCAAAATGTACGACATGCGTGGAAGAAGCCGACCGCCTAGTGTCAGAGACACAGCAGCCCTCCTCCTCAACGCTCGCGGTAGTTGCTGCACGAAATCTTCACGCCGCAGCCAGAACCCTGACGAAGCTAATAGATACAGGGGAGACGTCATGTCAAGCTCACCTTGTATGATTGTTCGCTTGCCTGTTTTTTTCCTCTCTTCTTTTTGCTGCTGCCGCTTGTTGCTTGCAACACGACAGTCCGTGGCCGGAGCATCGGTGGCAAACCTCGTCCTTGACTGCGTGGCAGTGTTCGGGTTAGGGATGGGGATCAAGGGAGCGGCTCTGGCGACCACCGTCGCCCAGTGGGTCGGTCTGGTGTACCTGGTTAAGGAGGTGCGTGCATACTTGCCTTGTTTTATGATTTTTTTGTGCGTCTTCATTGTTGTGAGCGTCGACCGCGTCAACCGGCAGACCGATGAAAATGTGTGTGCGTGTGTGTACAGCAGCACTCTAAAACGTTTTTTTGTGTACATGCAATGTGTGGGGGGCGTCTTGGTGGCAAGTGTCACGGACCGCTCTCTCCGGTTGGCCAATGAGAAGCCGTCGGTTTCACCAGATGACAAAAACACACGACAGGGGGGTGAAATCACGGAGCCCCCGGGACACGGGGTAGGGGCCCGGAGGAGGAGACTCCGTGCGGGTAGGGCCAGCCTCCTTCCTCCGAGTACTTGGCGGAATTTGACGACACGCTCTCCTAGCGAGTGCTATGATACCAACATCGTTGTCCTGCCGTGGATTGCGCATCACACGGCTACCTCCAGATACCTTAGCAGCATGTGTTTGCTCCGCGTGGTTCATGACTTTGGATTTTTGTTGTGGCCCTCCCTCTCCGTCGTTAGTGCCCCATGCTCTGGAGGGTCAGCCCCATCTATTCCTGCTCGTTGGCGTTGTTGTGCGAGAGGTCTGAGGNGGCTTGTTTTACAACGTCGTTGCCAAGCGACGAAAACCCAATCCCAACTGCACACACCGGGGGAGGGGGCGTACTCGTATGTTTTGCATGCCTTAGCGGTGAGAACAATGACCGCGCGTCCTCGAGAGGACGGAGCATTGTTCCCACAGGACCGATCACCGATG